CAACACGGACACACACAGCACCCCAAACCGAAAACATCTTCCCGCGCCCCTGGTTGGAACCATAAAATATTGAATTATTCTGTAATAATATCCCATCATCTCTGTCAAGTAATATTTTCTGTGAAAATATTTTTATTTTTATATTGTTTATTTATATAAAGATTTTTATATTGTGCAACAAAACACACACACACACACACAAAATAAAAAATTATTAAAAAATAAATAAAGCTAAAAGAAATCAGTGAATATTGACTTAAATTTTTATTTTAAACTTCAGTGGCTTTCTTCCTCAAAGATAATATATTACATCAAAATAGTGTTTTTATACTTTTTGGAGCTTAAAATCCCCTAGTTAACATCCTCTCTCATTGCATGTAAAAGAGCAGCTCAGATATTCTGCTAAACTTTGGTGTTCAATGGAAGAAGAATTTGCATTTCTGGGTAAACGGTCCCTTTAAGTTTTCCCCTGTACAATATCTCATACATTTATGTAAGTAAAACTATATGTGAAGGTCAGTGATATTAATCACACTTATTTCTGAAACAGATGCTCTTTCATATTCGCCTTAGGCTCCTTGGGTCGCCCTTGTGATATGCTTACATTTTAGATTTCGGTGTACAGTACACAATGACTAATGCAATAACAGAATAAGAGAGAAGCTCCCACACATACTGGGGTGCATCAAAATTAATGAACTGCTGTCAATTTTAATCCAGAATACATGGTGCCTCACTGCCATGGCAATACACTGTTAAGGCTCACAAATAAATCACACATTTGCATAGGACAAATGGTGCCAGCAAGCCTCAATAAAAATTGTATGCAGATCTCTTCTGTTCTACCTGGTGAAACAAGAAAATTAGATATTGACTGAAGAATAATGCTTTTCATTTTAGCGCAAATTGTGTCATGGAACAAAGGACCATCTGTGGGATTATCCAAGGTTATCAGAGCCCTTGACCGTGCTAAGCGATAGTTTATAAATAAACCATTTTATGACACTTCCAATAATGCAGTGGAATTGACAGACTGCTGGAGAAGGAACTCTAAGAAGCTCTACAGACGTATGCAAGTGTTACGTTTCATTTCAGATATTGAGCAGTGCTTTTCATTTGAGCTGTTTTGAAGGATAGGAAAAGAATAATCAATAAGACCTGTCACTGAAGCAGCAAACTTCAGAATAATCTGAAAAGATGTTATGTGCTAGACTTCGACCCAAACGTAACAATTTTTTGCATATTTTAAATACGATTTACACAGTTTAAAGGAGATGACCCTGAGAAATCAAAATACTGTACTATAAAAACATCCTGTAAGTTTCAGAACTCAAAACTTCCTAAAACATTAGAAATTAGTCTAAAAACAGCTTATATTGAAGCCAATCTGCTAAAACGGTTGAGGAATGTACCACTCTATGATGTAATAGTGTGGCTAAACACCGCCTCTGCAGAAGAAGATCAATGCCTGCTTCTACATCGCTGCCTGTTTAGCCCCGCCCACTGATTCGCGCATGTAGGTAAATAACAAGAGATGCAAATGCAGATCTACACAGAAACCAAACGATAAAGATGCTCCGAAGACAACAAGATGGTGTGCAGTGCCAAGTTGTGAAAAAACACATTACCTTCCTTCTGATCCCAACGTTAGAAAAGAGTGGATGAACTTTATTTTTAATGAAGTGCCAGATGCAATTCGACGCAGGATTTTCAGAAAGACTGAACTAAAAGATGATGCTGTGCCGACCATATTGGATCCAACAGTAATGTCTCAACACACAAGTGTAAGTAACTGTTTTCATTATGTGATGTTTTATTAACAAATTTCGGGAGGAGCACGTGCAGATAATTAACACGGCCAATTCATCATCAGTAATTATACCATCTATCCAACCAGCACAAGAGAGAACCCCTATAAATAATCAAAGCAGTCTTACCTTCATTATCTCTAGTCATTCAACATCCCTCCACCACCCTGACTCCTCACCTTCAGCCCGTTCCTACCCCAGCACAGGGAGGAGCACTCGGGGGGAGCGCTCTGGGTCCAGGCTAAATGCCGAGCTCGGAGCCCTCTCCCCGGACAGCACACCAAATACGCATAACCTTTACTCAGTTTATTATATGTAAGTGCGAACTCGTGAAATGCTCACTATTGCTTTGTCTGTTATTACAGATTGTTTGATATGTACTGAGTAATTATGCGTTTTTGACCTAAAACACAGCAGTGTCCATCTGTGATAGATGTTGGCTGTCAAACAAACAGAACTGTTAGCCAATCATAGCAGTGGGCGTTTACTTTTGAGTCTACAATCCGCCACACCTATTCAAACAGAGCGTTCTGATGAGGGGGTCAAAACAGGACAGAAAATAGCCAATTATTTCTAATCTGGATAACATTATAAGTGGACCTGTTTAAATCTAGATTAAAGACACCAACCCTTACAAAGATCTGAGATGACCGAACACATGTGAAGAGATGATGCCAACCCCTCAGAGGACCTCAGACGATGCCAACCCTGAAACAACAGACAAAACTACCAAATTTTGCTATAAGTTTGATCCCAACATATAATCAATAGCTGTTAATAGTTTTCACAGTACACGATTTTTACTGTACATTTCTGCCATATGGATAGCAACTTAGTCAATGGAATATGGAATCGACATAGTCACCACTGATAAGCTACTATTAAAAATAATGTAGAAACTTTACATTTCTGTAAAGCTGCTTTGCAATGATGTGTATTGTGAAAAGCGCTATACAAATAAACTTGAATTGAATTGAATATTCACCGAGATCCCTCCCAGAGTTGTATTCAGCACACAAAATAATAATAAAAAAAAAGATCTTTTACAAAAGGTATCTTCATATCAAGGGCAGTGTTGAAACTGAGCAAAATAAAACGAGCAAAATAAAAAAGCATGAATAAATAAAGAACATGTAAGGGAATAAAAAATAAATAAAAGTGTAAGAACCTCAATAAAACAATGTTTACAGTCATTCAACATGAATTTCAAAGTTCATTCCTCAAACATCCGTGTTTTCTTTTAGTCCTGTCAGGTTTATTCAGAATGTGAGACTCAACATTGGTTTGGTACAACAAGCTTTTTTGGGTTATTATTGATCGTCACGTCATTGACATCAACACAGACAGCTCAGTCCTCACTATCTGCTGAGAAGATCGACACTGGATAGTTCTGAACATAAATCAAAATATAAGACACCACTGAGGTAAAACTAAAGGGGAAACCGGGACACCGACACAGCCAGACAAGTCTCCATTTAAGAATTTAAACATAAAGGAAATATCCATGGATTTATGACAAAAAATGACCAGAATATAACAGTAATGAATGAATACAATGAATATACAGTAGTCAACATTTGAAGTTCATCAACGTTGTCCTAAGACAAGAACGCATGTTGGTTTTAGGTTTTAGGACAAATCTGATGAAAGGTTTTGATCCACTTCAAATGTTGACTAGTGTAGTAATTTTATCATATATTTTACATTACACAAACTATTTATAATATTTTAAAACTGTATAAAATTCTTAAGAGCTCCCATGTATCGCTCATTCTTGTTATTGTATCTATAATTTGATTTTAATTATATTGAAATGCTGTTAACATTCACAAGCACTTATAAGCACGAGCTCCTCATCTTTTAGATTGTAGTTGCTGCTTTTATTGCTCATCATTTTCCTTTTACTCTTGAAGAGTGTTTTTGACACGTTTGACTAATGGCATTTTCTAATATTTTGCACATTTGCTCACTGGATGCTGGCTGTAAAATTGGACTATTCTAGGCAGATCTCTGAAACATTACTCATAAAAAACAGCACACGGTCTGAGTTTATCATGTACCTCTGTCACTTGGCTCATCCTCAAGGGCACTGAATGCTTCGTGGTGTAGAACAGAACAGGACAGTGCTGTAAATACAAACGCCCTCATTCACCTGCTTTTCAGTACGAGCCACTTAAGCAAAATGTACATTGTCAAGGAGGTTGGGTTGCTGAAAGTCTAGGTTTTCAGTTTTTTTTTTATTTTTTAAACACACTTAACCTGTCAAGTGGGAAAAAAATAACCTTATCGAAAAATTAAACATCTAAAGTAAGGGTGTAGGAGAGATCTGAGATGTGAAAGGATGACATGATTGTAAAACTTATCAGCCTGGCTTATGAATATTAAATACACAGCACTGTGTGATTAATATTCAAGAGGCTCATAAGTCCAGTAAGAGACAGGCATTAGCAAATAGGTTGTATTATAAAAAGTAAATAGTAAATAGAATCAAGAAGCCCACATCCTGTCATATTTGCACTTTATTTGTAATACCGTAATACTGTAATATACTGTAAGTAAAGCAACATCCATTCCTCGTCCAAAATATGAATCCAGGATTTTAGTTTTTGCTGAATGCTAAAAGCATGTATTTGAGCAGACGCTTCTTTATATGTGAAGGCAAGGCACTTTCTGTAGAAATCTTACAAGCGCTGATGATGAGCAGATCATTGAACTGATTTCTACTTTGATCTTCTATTGGCACAAATCATATCTCATTTAAAATTGAAGAGATTCTGCTTCCCCAATCCACATTTTGGCCCACAGCAGCAGATAGTAAAATATGATATAATCTACAAGATTGTTTGGCATTCAGATTGAATTGAGAAGCCTTTTAAACTGCAATTCAGTTCATGAATTTGAATAATTGAATCATATATATACTACATTTTATGTCAAAGAATTTTAACATAAACACAAATAACTAAATGTGAAAGTAAGCTTCTTTTTTTTTAAACAAAATCTGTAATTTCCTGTCACCTATTGGATGTAGTAAAACACCCACAGATGTACCAGAAAAACATATGGGTCATGTTTGCATTTTCTTTTGTCACTGTCCATAATTTTAACCTTGAAATTAGGATTAGGCATAAAATAATGTCTTCAGAATGTGAAAATCGGCTGAGAATTGACCAAATAGTTGCAACTTGGCCCAGAGGAAGATATGAATCATGTCTTTGTGGCAGGTTTACTGGTGATTAAGGAATAATACAATACTTCTTTACCATACTAATGGTTGTCAAAAGCAAAAATGCTATGAAATGCACATCATATTTTGTGTATGAGTATGAGCTCAACAGACTATTTTTGGAATCAGTGCACCAAAATTGCCCCCACCAAAAAAAAAAAGACGAAAAATACAATGCAGGGCTGCGTATGTCAGAATTATGAACTTGAGTCTTGTCTTTTGTGTTTTATTTTCCTGTTTGCCCCGTATTTGGTTCTGTTCCTGTCCTAGTTTAGTTCTTTGATTCATTAGTGCTCATTAGTTGATGCCAATCACCTGTTTGCTCCTCGTCAGCTGCCCTATTTAAAGTCTCCTTTCTGTTCAGTTTTCTGTCGGTTATTGTTTAGAGTCACATATATTTCTGTCACCCGGAGTTATTACCTTTCCTGTATTTTGTGGATTACCCTTGTCTTCATCGCCTTCCTTGGTGGATCCGTGACGGTGTAGACGATTTGATTACTGATAAATGATCAATATATTCAAAGTAACACCTATTAAATTCATTATATTTCATTCTATTTAAAAACTAATTGACAGACCATGGTGCAATAAGACATAATTTCCAAGATGGCTGATTATGTATAATATTTATGATAACAAAACATATTTATGTAATGTTTATGTTCTGCTTGGGGTTGCTTTACCCAGAGATGAACTACGAGCCAGAGGGTGCCATCCCAATAATTAATATGCTACTATTTAATTTTCTTTGTTTAATCGTACTGAATGAAGCGTTTATTTTAGCCTCGAAGAGAATAGCGGTCTGGTTACTAAACATCGCGGAGCAGAGAGAACACAGACAACGAGCTGACAGACACGACACAGTAGGTCACTTTTGATAATAGGAAACAAAGTCTCAGCATTCAATTTCTGTTACTTTTATTAAGAATTTCGAATGATAAATACAGTTTTGGAGCTTTTTAGTGGCGTGATGGATCATGCGCGCTCCCGCTATGCCTCCGTTCAAGCGAAGCAGGAGTGCATTCTTATTAGCATGAAGTAAACATTGAATGAACATCCGATCCATGTTGAAAGATACACTACAACTTACTGAATGTACAGTGTCTCATGTAATCACTCAATGAGAAATCCATTCAGTGTCCATACATTAGTGAGAAAAATGTACACTAGAGAGAATTTTGCAAAAATTACATTTATATATTTACTCATAATTGCTTTTTTATTATAATTAATAAAAATGTATAGATATAACGTTACTATAAAAATTGTCTAATATGAACTTGTATACAAATACATTGTTACTTTTAACCTTAACAAGAGGGTTCCCTGTTTAGTTTAGAAAAATGTAGAAAAAAAATAAAGTATACATTACCAGTCAAAAGATTTTTGATGTTTTTTAAAGAATTCTCTTCTGCTCACCAAGCCTGCATTTATTTGATCCAAAATACAGCAAAAGCAGTAATATTGTGAAATATTTTACTGTTTAAAATAACTGCTTTCTATTTGAATATATTTTAAAATGTAATTTATTACTGTGATCAAAGCTACATTTTCAGCATCATTACTCCAGTCTTCAGTGCCACATCATCCTTCAGAAATCATTCTAATATATTCATTTGCTGCTCAAGAAACATTTTATTATTATTATTATTATAAATATTTACAACAGTCGAGTAGCCTACAGTTTTTTTCAGGATTCGTTTAATGAATAAAAAGATCCAAAGATCAGCATTTATCTGAAATAAAAAGCTTTTGTAACATTATACACTATACCATTCAAAAGCTTGGAG